CCAGTGCCAGCTGGGATTGGCTCCAGCCCCACCGCAACCCTGTTCAGGATAAGCGGTATAGATAATGGATGGATGGAAATGTACATTTAGCCATGCAACTAAGATATTGTACAGTTACTCATGGTTCCCAGAGGATGAATTCTGACTTTCTGATTAGCACCTGCAGGTTGATATCTGTGGTTCAGAGTGAAATGTTTTGACAGCCTTTAGAGGAAGATGAATTGTAGTAGTCATCTGGTCAGACTTCTTTATTTGGTTTTACTTTGTATTTACCTACAAAACTAATGATGTACCCATCAGCTTCAGCTGTACTTTGCATTTAGTGCAAACATGTTAAAACACTAAACAGATATGTGTAAGAATTATGTTATGTTGCTATGGTACCTTCTCTGTAGACTCTTAACTTGGTTAATATTATAAAACATCACAATTAGTAAAGCAAACTTAAAACTGTGTGATCCATTTGTGTACAAACCTTCTTCTTACACTTATTGACATATAAATTATCATATTATATATTTTAAGCTGTAATATGTACGCTCTCTGTCTCAGGTCATGCGCCAGGCCAGTTGTACACATACCCTGCTCGCTGCTGGCGCAAGAAGAGACGGCTAAACATCCTGGAGGACCCACGGCTTGTACCGATCGAGTTTAAGATCGGTAAGGAGGAACTGGGATCGCCCATTTTAAGCACTTTTACCATTGACAACATTGTGGAATGGGATGGGACGCATAATGGCAAAACTGACAACCCTCAAACATTTCCCCCTTTTATTGGTTTGTTTACTTTGACCTCTTATAGCTCAGGCTTGTCTCCCAAAAATCCATAGTAAAATAAACACAATAAATACATACAAAGATCATCAAATAGTGTATACCACACATACTGTATGAACTAATAGCATGCTCATTTATTGCCTTTAATTAGCTTTAAAGTGTAAAAAATCTTTTTTCCATTTTGTCTGATAGCATCACTGTATACTCTATCAGCTTACACAGTTATTACTGAAGTTGTATTATATTATAAACATGTCTCCAAAATGTATCTTGATAATTCTGGTGTTTTTGAAAACCTAGGGAATTTAAAGTAAAGTTCTGCTGCACACCATGTTTGTAATGACCAGCAGATCAGTGAGTGCTAAGCTATCGACCTTTACTCATTTAAGTTGTTGACCCTTAGTCAAAAGATCAGAAAGAATCACCACTTCCAAAGGAAGGTGAAAAAGAACGTTTCATAAATAGTTATTTAGTAAAATTCACAATAAATTTGTGCCTTCATGAACCAGCCAAATTTCATTTCCTCGGGGCACTGTCAGCGCAACTGAGCATGCCACCATGACTGTGAGATTTCTACTGTTTTCTGACTGTAACTGCCTCATTCCTCAGACTACGAGGCTTCTCTAAAGAAGGAGGGGGGTATCCCAGATGGCCCTGTGCTGGAGTCTCTGCTCGCTGGGGAAACCTTGGACAAGAAGGTAGAAACCAAGGAAGAAGAGCCAATGAGCGAGTGCCAGGTGAGACTCCTGTTTTTCTTTCTTCTCTCTTTCTCTATGTTCTTTGTCTTGTTCTTGTTTTCTTATATTAGCCCATCTATCTCTTTTTATGTCTGTATTACCCTCTGTGAATGGGTTTCTTTGTCTGTCTCTTCCTTTGTCTCTCGGAGTGTGTTTTGGCTGTGACATAGGCTCCCTGCGGCCGTGACAATTCCCTCCTGGCACCGAGTGTGTGCGCGTGCTTCTGATAGTGTGTGATTGCGTTGTAGCCAGTCCTGGGTTTTACAGGGATTTTGCTTGTGCGTGTTTTACAGAGTATGAACACTTTTTACAAGACATTTGATTTATACAGCATGTTGCAGGAACTTCTGAGCAAAAACGTAATGTCCATCAGTCGGAGCTTGTGGCACTGGAACAGCTAATCAAACCACAGATGAGGGAATGACCCTGAGAGCTAGTAGAGTAGTGTTTGGGGTCTCCCCTCTGACTCCAGTCCAGCTCCAGGCTCTCCCAAAGGGGATATTCATCGATTTTACATAGTTTATTTATCGGGAGTCTTACACAGTCTCAAAACAGTGGCATACTGTCTTTTTTGGCTCTGGATGGACCATCAGGGTCATTTGAAAAGAAAGAAAAGATGCTAAGAAATACAGCAATGGGGTTGTCTTAACTTGACTTGAGTCTTGCTAATAAAAAAGTCTGCATTATAAACTGGAGATGAGCAGTTTGAGGTGAGCTGGCAATGAGTAAGTCGGCCTCATAAAAGAGGCTATTTCACTGAATTATGGAAAGTGTTGTATTCAGTGTTTTTAGCAAACTGATAGGACTGATAGAATGGAAAGAGTCAAAGGAAAGGAAAAATAAACTAACTAACCTGTCTGACAGTCCACCTGTCTCTCTCTTTATCTCACCCAAAGAAGTTACTTGTCGGGGATTTCCCTCATGAGCTAGAGGTGGATGAGATGGAGGAAGACATGCCGAAGCGCAAAAACCGTACCAAAGCACGGGTAAGACAACAATGCTTCATGCTTCATCTTTCTTTTTTTCTCCTGGTCATTTATACTGAGCTAACAAGCCAGAAAAGAAATTGTTTGGCTGCCAGTGTAGAATAATGAAGCCAAGGAAGCCAAAGTCAAAATGACCCAGATTCAACTGTGATGGACTTGATGTGAAAGTGTGTCCAGCCTGTCAGATATAGAACATAAAGAACTGTGTATTAAATAACCGTATAAGATGGCTGGCCATAATATATTCTGATGTACAAAACTCTGAAGGAATTGTTTACTCAGTCTTACCACGCAGTCTGTAATGAAATGTGATATGACAAAACAACAGTTATTATAGAGAGTAAATGCAAACTGATCCAGAAATCAAAATCAAGCTGGGATGACCTCTTTTTTAAAACTTTGATTAGACCTGACAGTCATCCCCCCGCCCCACTCTGTCTGGGCTTTATATGGGTAGATAATCAAGCATTAACAAAATCCTGAACAGCATCTGACACACATACACATGCTCACACTCAGACCCCAGGGTTGCTAATTGGAGATGTTGCTCCCCTGCTAGGTGTCATCAGCCCCCTCCTGCTGGAAGTGGAGCTTTACACTGAGAGCAGATGATTAGAATGCAAACATTTTGTGTGTGCACATGTGTGTATGTGTAGACACTTGAAGACACAGGACTTGTGTGAAAAGTGCAGAAGTTCAAACTTTATGTTTCATGTGTGATTTTGCATGTGCCATTGTGTGTGTCTTCACTGCAGGCCTATGGTGTTGGGGGCATGAGAAAGAGACAAGAGCCGCCTACCATTGAAGATAGAGACAAACCTTATGTTTGTGACAGTGAGCGTGCAACTTTTCATTTTCTATTTTCTTGTTTTTGTTTTTTATCCTGACACTGACAGAAAACTAATTTAATGCTCTGCCTGTCTGTGTGTCTTCCAGTCTGTGGAAAGCGCTATAAGAACCGCCCCGGACTGAGCTACCACTACACTCACACACACCTAGCAGATGAGGAGGGGGAAGAAGACTCAGAACGACACACGCTACCCTTCCAGCGCAAGAACAACCACAAGCGTGAGTCTGCTGTCTGAATATTAAACTTATTTAGAATTGTCTTGTCATCCATCATCATCCCTTATTTACTTCATGTGGAGTGCTTTGGTTGGACAGGCAGCTTGATTCTGGCTCCTCAGCCACATAGAGAACATGTAAGTTTAGCAGTTTCAGAGTCATTCCAACAAAATTATCACAATATTATTAAGAACTATTGATTGTCCCAGAGTTCATGGTTAGAGTGCATGGGCCAAATCCAAAATGTGCACTTGTGTTGATAAAGGATAAGATTTCTCCCTGTGGAGTACTGGGTTGAGATGATTTCTTCAGCTCCCATGGATTCAGAGTTATGCAGAGATGAACTTTGCCTGGGGTAGATGAAAATGGATCACTGCAAGTCCTCAGACCCGGCGTCTTCTTGACCTGGGTCAAACAAGGGACTATTGGGTTAGCTTTGCTGAACTGATGTTTCAGTTATGGATGCAAATGTTATTTGATTTGCATAAGATTGAACAGCTCTGACTAGTCTAAAAAAGGCAAGAAAAAAACATTGGTTAACGACATAATGCAATTTTACGTAATTTTATAATTCTGCAGTAATGTGTTTATACAGCCATAGTTGCAGTTGGGTGTGTCTCTAGAGACAGAAGCAGTGAAAACAAGGATTATGTCACAGCACCCTCATATGAATAGAGACAAATGGGTAAAACATGAATAGGCCTGCATTATGTGCGCAACTTGCAGGAAAAGTTTGTGGTTTTACTCTGGATTGCCTTTGTGTATATTTTTTATTTCAACAGTGTAGCATTTCACCTTTCATTGCCTGGGCTGCTTTTCAGTCTGTGAGAATGCAGAACCAGCTGCCAACGGCCTTTGTCTTGAGAAAATGCACAAAAGTGATAAGGTAGAGTAGCTATTTACATTGCAGTAAAATGAAAAAGTGATATAAATTGATGGTGGCAAGCACACTGTATAAAAGAGTAATAACTTCACATTACAGCAGAATGATCTCGTCTTACTCTGAGATTGTAAAGGTGAGCGGCGTGTTTCTATCAGTCATCACTTACAACATAAAGCGTCTTAAGCCGCAGATTTTCACACATGAACTCCATGAACTATAATCAGGACTGGTCTTTGTCCAGAGTTGTCCTTTCACATATATAGCACACAACAGGGGGGGCACCTGCAGGAGTAGCCAGCTTGTAATTTCGTTACAAACAACCGAGTTTCTTGCCTTGTCTGATGATTCTGGTGCTGGCTTTTAGAAGTTCCTTATTCTTGTCATGTCCCCAGTTAGATATTTTTTTGGTGTCTTTATTGTAAATGACCTTTTTTTTTTCACCATTGGATGTTTGCATTCTTCCAGTTTCATGACAGTCATATGAAAGAACGCCCACTAGCTCAGTGTGAAGACTCCAGACTATATGCTGCTGTTTTCTCACATGGGTTCACTCCTGCTCAGCTGGACCTTACACAGACTTGATACTAGAGAGCTGGCAAAGTAAAGTCTGCTTACGGTCTGAATGGACTGATTCAGACACATACAGCTCCTCCAGGTAATGTCTACAGAATTTCAGGGTTCCAGTGCATGTCTGAAAGGGGCTTTAGTAAGATGATGGGCCACCACTTGCTGCCAGAACAGCTTCAGTGCAACTTTGCATTGATTCTGCTAGTCTCTGAACTCTACAGGAGGGATGAACACCATTCTTCTGATTCAGGTTTTTCCTTTAATTTGTCACTCTCTGCATCTGAATGAATCTAACACTTAAGACAGTTTCAGCAGCTGCTACAGAGATACATCAGCTCAATGAGAGCACAAACAGCTCTTCGATCAACATTCATCAATTCTAAATAACATCATTCATAATCTCTGGGAAATTTTCAGTGCACTCTGCATTCATATTTCAACTTCTACTGTATGCGCTTTTCAATTTACAGTATACAGCATGGCTGCAGCTACTGCTTAATGAGTATCCATTAAAGCTCTAGACAGAATATCATAAGGTAGTCACAACAGACACCCACTAGTGGCTCAGGCATTCTTGCCAGACACTGTACTGTATGTATTTACTTTAGTTATGGGCAGTACTGCATGTAGATGTAGAACGACAGGGATATCTTAGCAGCTAGTGGATGGATTGCCATGAAATTTTATAATGATATTGATGGTGCCCAGAGGACAGTGATGGAAAGTACATTCACTCAAGTACTGTATTTAAGTACAATTTTGAGGTATTGGTACTTTATCTATATTTTCATGTCCTGTTACTACACACTTCATCCTCACTACATTTTAGAGGCAAATGTTTTACTTTCTATTCCACTGCACTTATTTTATATCTTTAGTAACTAGTTACTTTTCAGGATCAGATTGATAAAAAAGCATTATAATCACAAAACTTTAATGATATCTGGTGGAAAATTCACAAGCTACCTATGAAATGAATGTCATTCCCATCAGCCTCAGTTGCACTTTGTGTTTAGTGTTAATCACCAAATGTTAGTAAGGTAACAAGTGAAATTAAGAAGTTGAACGTTTTACCTAGATAGCATCAGCATTGTTATGTGAGCATGTTAATCAAATCTGTGTTTGACATTTTTAACAATGCTCTTCATGAAAAATATCTCATGTACATCTGGCTCATGTGCATGTGTGTTTAAATATCAGTGTGGATTCCGCTTCTCGCCACATCTCTCCCCGTGGGACTGTTGGCTTGTATTTAATCAGATTAACTGCAGGAAGTAAGTATGAGAGTTACTGAGCACTGGCAGATGTCCTGAAGCTGTAAAGGGCCTGAGTGCAAAACCTGGAGGGACTTAGGTTTATACAGGGCTTTAACAAGTAGAGCAAGATTGTCCAAAAATCATTTCTGTTGTAAAAAGCATTGAATGTTATGCATAACAGTGCTGAAGGTGGTAGGCATCCCAAGGCTGCTGTTAGCACGAGGCTACAAATGTTCATCTAAATGTAGAATGGGTGTCATAAGAAAGCCATAAATACCAGGGAACAACAAGCAAATCAAATAGGTTTTAATGAACCGATCATGAATCAGACCTCAAATGTCCGCTCTTATCTGCTGCAGCATCCACATGAACCAGAATGCTTGCAGCCTTTGTTTCTTTGTGACTATTTATATTTTTGGCGTTGTCCTGTAGCTGTGTGTTTTGTATGTTTGCATGCACTTCTTTTAAGGACAATAGTATGCATTTTGTGAGATTGTGGTTTGGCCAGTAATTGTCAGTAATATGGCTACAGTGGTTTTGCTGTCATAAAAACCAAGAGAAATAGTTGTGCACATTTAAAAAGGGAGCGCAGACAATTCATCCACTTTCTTTGTTCCCCCCATTCTTAAACCAAGCAATTTGCTCATAACCACATATCCACATTATCTGTGTATGCTGCAGCAGAACAATGTCCACAGTGAAAGCATGCTGCTTCTCACTTAATTGGCAGTGTGTTTTTAAATTGGCCTGTATGACCGAACAGACTGGTCCAGTGTGTGTGTGTGTGTATGTGTGTGGACATGCTGCAGTCTTAGGTCTCTCCATTGAAGGAGAGCAAGACAGACAGAATTTGAATTGTTTAATATCCCCCACTACCCCCTTTCAAACAGACAGTAATCGCACATACACACATGCACGCACACACTCAGAAAATGCAATCTTCTCTGCTGAAATGAAAAAGGTAGCTTAGCCTTCTTGGCTGGTGTGTATATGTGTGTGTTTCCACATGCACAAGTACACATAAATTTGCAAGGCTCTGTGAGTGTGTACTGTACATACGTGTGAGTGTGCATGCGTTAATGTTTGTGTGTGTGTGTATGTGGCATTATATCTTTCCCCACTCTGCTGGGTATCATGGAGGGTATCCACCACCCTCCACCCTGCACATTTTGGTATATTGCCACATATATAATAATATTAATATGCCTCCTCCGAATGAGAGCAGCCCTGCATGCATAATTCATGCTATATTCTTGCTCAAAAAGCTGTCTAGACGCTATAGTATGTACGCAGCATCCACAACGCAAGTGTGAGTGGAAACTTATCACAAAAATTATAAAACTCTGTCTTTTCTGAACCCTATGCAGTTCCAGTCTCTCTCTGTTTTTCCATCAGCATGATAAATGACAGATTATTCCACCAGGAGATGAGATTTCCTTCCCTCTCTTTCTCTTTGTCCTTCTTTCATCACTTTTCTCTTCTCTTTTTGCTCTGTATCCTCACTTAACCCTCCTCTCCCCTCTCTTTTCAGCCTTCCATTTTCCATTCTCTTCAGTGTGATTTTGCTTCATCCATCATCCAGCTTTGGGTTTCCTTTTAATTTATTTCTTTGTTTTGTGTCTGCACTCCCTGAGATCACAATCACTAAAATCAACCACCACTATTAAACCTCCCTCTTTATATCTGGATTCCAGCCGATGTGCTGCTTACACAGAATAACTAGCTGCAATAAAATTCATGACTGTGTCACGTACTATTTTTTTAAACACTTGTTTTACTTATTTGCGTCTGAACAAGAGAAGAAGAGGTTGGAGGTGTGGAGGGGGCTCTTTTGGCACTGATGTGATGGTGGGGGGGTGGAAGAAAAAGAAGAAGAAGAAGAAGAGGAGGAGGCTGAGGAGAAGTGGATGAATAAGGGGGATGTTTACTTTGGAGGCTGGCCCTGCAATGTCCACCTGAAAATTGGTTTTTGTCTGTATGGAGAGAGAGAAAGAGGTAGAGAAAGAGGAGAAGGAAGGAGGTAAATGAGAAAGAGAGAGCAAAAGAGAGAAATAGCAGGGATATGATAAAGAGATTGCAAAAAGGAAACAAACCGAGAGAAATGGCAACTGTGATTGAATGAGAGAAATAAAAGAAAGACAGGAAGAGACGGGGGGCAGAGGG